AGGGGCTGCCGACGTGGAGCCGCTCGCCGGGGTGGCTTAGCCCCGGGCGGGGAAGTGGGTCGACTCGGTTCTCCGTGTGCGCCTCCTCTGTGCCCTAGTACTGCGAGTCCCCCATTTGGCTGCCCGTGGGGACCCCGAAGGATGCCCACGCCTCCCTTGCCCGTGTCTTTGTTGGATCGACACCGGGCAGAACCGGGCACCGGGACTTAAGGGAAACCGGGAAATCACTGCCTGCCACCCAAGTCCCGCGGTGAACTTGAATTTGGGTCCCTCCTGGCGGAGGGCTGGCGCCGCAGGGGTGCTGGGGCTTAGGGGGTCTCAGAGTTGAGGGGCTGTGTGCAGTGGTGCTGATCTCGCTTTCCGGAGGGGCCGGTTTGTCCCAGACGTGGCCACCGGTGGGATCTCGAGCCGCACACGAGGCTGCCCTTCGGGGCTGGGTCGGGGCCTCCTTTGCCGGTGTAATGGGCGCCCGCTTTCTCCCAGGCCTGCCTGCTTGTCTCGGCGGCCGTGCTGTTGGGTAATTGTTCCTTCCTCGCTAACTGGGCCGCCCTGGGAAGGGAAGCGTGGGCCCTTCCGCACAGGTGATTCCCCGTAGGCCAGAGCCTGGCCTCCATGCAGGGAACAGCTGGAGCTGCCCTCGCATCTCCCCATTTAATCCACCAGGTGCCTGTGGCTGTCCACACACCCTTATCCCCATTTTCTGGACGGGAAACTGAGGCACAGAAACTGGGGCAGGTTAAGCAACTTGCCTAAAGCTGGGACAGAGCCCAGGGACCCTGGCTCCTGTGAGCCCTCGAGCAGGATCCTCTCCCACCTTTCACTGTGGAGCTGATTAATTACTTATAAAAAATTTAATGAGAATAACAAAATGCCCGGGTACCTATGGGACTCGAAATGCTCTTAATAAGCAGAGCAAGTGGTTTGCCATGGGCAACCCCCCAGGTGTAGCCTCCTGGAAGACCAACAGCAGGGTGTGGGCATGGGCGTGTCCTTCCAGCTGCAGGCTGTGCGGCTAATCTGGGGTTCACAGCACCCCTCTCCAGGCCCTCGGGACCAAGGGCTTCAGAGGCACTGGAAGAGGCGGACGGTGGACCCGGTCAGGTTTCCCCGTGTTCTCTCCTTGCCGTGATTCCGTCCAGGGCAATACCCCCTGCCTTATCAGAGTTGGAGGCGCCAACTCACCCAGGGGAGCTGGTCACAGCACTGTCCCCAGCCCTGGCCACTGAGGACCTCGGCAGTTTGTCCACCTAGCTGCAATCCTGGCTGTGACTGCTGGATCAGCATGGCCTTCTCCTTCTCAGAGAAGCTTCTGAGCTTCCAAGAAAGCAGGGCTTCCAGAATGCTCTCAGGATTTAAGAGGTGGGGGACAAGGACCAGGACAGGGACTGGGGGCTCCTCCTCCCCAGCTGTGCATTTCCCGGTTCACTTGGGGAGCAAAGTTAGGCTCATCCCCGATGACTACCTGTGTAGACTTACCAAGTGCTGCACACGGTCTAGGGCCACAGCAGTGAACTGGAAATTCAAGGTTCTTGCTTCATTGAATTGGCATTCTGGTAGGGCAGACACAGACACTGACACTTATCCGTGAGGCACCTCTGGGTGGGGTGACAAGCACCCCATGACAGAAAGCTGGGAGAGGCAGCTGCTTTGGAAAGGTTGTCTGGAAAATGATGCTTAACAGAAACCTGAACACACTGGGGTGAATGTGAGGCATACAGGACTGACGTATGTCTCAGGCCAAGAGAAGGGCAGGTGCAAAGGGCCTGAGGCAGGAATGGTGCTAGGGAACAGGAGGAGACCCATGCAGCTGGAGCCAGGAGAGTAAGGGCCAGGGTGGGAGAGGCTGGGCAGACAGTGGCCTTTTGCATCTGCGTGGACCTGTTTCTGTGTGGGTGGGGCCTGCTGCACCCCTGACCCGGCGATGACTACCATGCAGGTGAGGCAGAAGTGGTTCTGCCCCCTCAGCTCCCAGACCTGTAGTTTTGTCACAGGTGGGGTGACAGCCAGTTCCTTCCTCTGTCCCTGACCTGCCCACAGAGCTGTGGGCATTGGGGGGCATGGAGAGAAGGGGTGGTTCCTGTCCCTGCTGGCGTGAGCAGTGCCCATGGAGGCCGCTGGTGTCGTGTTCTGGGGATGCAGGCTCAGAGCAGCCCTGCGGCAGGCCAGGGAGGCCCGCGGAGGCGACAGGAGCTCGCTGTGGAAGCGGGCACCCAGGGAAGCCCCCGGTAGGAGGTGCTGAGAGGGCCTTGGCTGTCATCTGAGACACCTGGGCTTCCTCTGCTCTGTGATGGCGACACCGATATGAGAGAGGAGACTGAGTGAGGGCCCGGCTTGGGAGGGTGGACAGACAGACAATGGACAGGTGGACGGACGGAGGGAACGCGGAGATGGGTGGACAGGAGCACAGCTGGATGCATGGGTGGAGGGACAAGCAGATGGATGAGTGGACGGGTAGTTGGGTGGGCAAACGGATGGACAGATGGGCAGAGGAAGGAGCAGGACCGGCCGCCCCGGCTCGCATAGGTGGGGCAGCCAGGGTGGGAGGAGCCATTTGCCGAGATCAAGGCAGACCCTGGCCGTGCACTGGCTCCTGCGCCCCACTGTGTGTGCAGCTCCTTCTGGGGCTGGAGAATGAGGACACAGAGGCCTGTGCCCCACAGCTGCTGGGATGAGGGATCGAGCAGAAGCCTCTTCACAGGGGGACAGGGAGGGGCATGGCCAGCAGTCACTGCGCCTCGGGTCCTCCGTGTTGGCCTTGCGAGGCAGGGCCGGCTCTGCACGTGCTCTTGGGGGCCTCCCCGTCACCGTGAGCTGGGCCTTCAGGAGTGGGGCACGGGGAGGGGGGAGATGATGGCCCTGTGCCTTATACTGGCTGGCAGACCTCATGGGCACCTATCTCTGCCTCCTGGGGCTGTGGCCAAGAGCCGAATCCTGGTGGTCACAGGACGTTAGAGGCCCAGGTTGGGAGGCAGGACACGCATCCGCCGTGGTGGCCTTGGCTTGTGGAGGCGCCAGGCCAGCCCCACTCCATCTTCACCAGCCATGTCCTCTGTGTCCCTTCCTTGAGGACACTGCTCACTGGGCCCTAGCACGGCTGAGGCCCTTCCTGTCCCTCCTCGGCACCCTCTGCCCGCACAAGAGCGCCCGTCTGGAAGGCAGTGTGCCCACGGTGACCTCCGTGTGGCTGTCAAGGGTGCCCGTCCCCTGCCAGTCATGTCCTTGGCTGTCTTGTTCTCCCCAGGAGTAGTGGAGGCCCAGGGCCACCACCCTGCACAGCCCACTGTACCCTCGTTGCGTGTCCTGCCCAGGCATGCGGAACTGGGTGAGGTGGGCTCCCCCCGTGCTGTCTTCTGGGTGGCCTGGCCTATGGCCCCGGGCACCATCTGTGAAGTGACCCTGCCTGGGCTCCAGGGAGGTGCGAGACACGCTGGCGTGCTTGGCCGTGGCACCTCAGCCCTGCTCCCTGCCCGCCCAGGGGACCAGGGTGTTGTGGCTGCCCAGTCTGAAAAGGCTTTGAAGAGAATTACTGTATAAATACAGAGTTGTGGAGTCCAGCAGCTGGGGTCCAACAGTGGACCTTGGAATCAGAAGTGGGGGCCTGAAGGAGGGGTCCCTAAGAGCCAGGTGACTCCTTTGTGTCCTAGCACTGGGCCCTGTCCATGCTTGGCTGTCACCTGTGCCCTCCCTAGTGAGGATCCAGGAACCCCAGCTCTGGCCAAGGCTTTCTAAGCAGAAACCATTTACATGGAGACCAAATGGGGGGCACTGGCCCAGGAAGGGTGAGGGGGGACAGCTTTGGTGGCCCTGGGTTCTGTTCAGAGCAACGAGTGTGGCCAGCATGTGGCTCGTGGGCTGCCAGGCGAGGACGTGTGGGTGGCAGGTGACTGGGACCAGAACACCGGCAGAGGTAGCAGAGCCCTTCGAGCCCAAGCAGAGGCCAAGGTTTGGCAAGCAGGGTCGCAGAAGGGGTGGAGGCCCAAACGGGGGACCCCAGGCCTCAGCTTCTCCCTGAGCTGAAGAACCTTCCTTTGCGGGGTCTTCCCAGCAGGCCGGGACATAGGACCCTGGCCAACTTGTGTCCCACCTCCCACACCGGCAGGGCCCTGGCTCCGGGCTCCCCTCCCTTTCCTTCTGTGTGGTGTGGCCTGTCCCCCTGCTGTGAGGACACGGTCCCCAGGCCAGGATGGTCGCACCCTGGGACCCTTAACTTGGGGCGTGTGCCAAGGCCCTGCTGGTTCCAGGTAGGTGTGAGGTTTCGGGGACCTGGGTCCCCAGGCGCACCTGCACCCTGCTCAGCCATTGTCCCCACCGCGGGCAGGCAGAGGGCTGTGGGGCTGAGGTCGTGAGCCCCTGAGCCTCTTGACACGGTTATTCCCGAGTGGGGCTGGCAGCAGTCTGGACCCTTACTCCTGGGTTGAGCTAAAGTCAGGCAAGCAAGAGTGGGTGATGATGAACACTACACTGACAAAGAATTATTTAAAATTTACAATTATTTTTCATGCCAATGTTGACCACGGGGTGACAAAGTGTTAGAGACCTCAGAGGAGGGAATGATTGTGAGATCCCCCAGGGCTCTCAGTGACAGACGGACGGATTTCCTGGGGTGAGGGAAGGGCCAAGGAGGCCCCAAAGTGGAGTCTGGGTGCAGAGCCCTTGAGTGAAGGGTGGGGCAGGGACAGGAGAAGAGTCCCCACGTCAGACAGAAGAGTCCAGCCTAGGCCTTGGGCACAAGAGCATCTGTGTTTTCAGAATCAGCCTGACACCAGGCCAGTGGCTTCAGGCATGGCTTGATCTAGGACATAAGCATGGTGGGCCAGACTGGACCTTCCGCCATCTCTGGTCCCGCACTCCTCGGGCAGCAACACATGGGCTGGGGTGGGGGTCCAGTGGGTGGGCTGCTGATGGACTCCAAAGCCAGGGCTGGCTGGGATCAGGGGGAGCTGAGGCTCCTAGACCCAGAATCACATAAGCCAGCATCTGCACCTCTTCCCACAGCCCCCTCCCCACTTCGGAGACGCTCTGGTGCCTGACATGAGGCCCCGAATGCTGCCGGTGGTGTTTGGAGAGAGGATCGAGGTGGACCCGGAACCCGCTCACGAGATCCGGTAAGCAGCCGCGGGCCTGGGGTGCGCAGACCAAGCTGGGAGGGAGGGGCAGTGGGGTGTGGACCTCGTGGGGGCTGGGGACACACTGACTTTCTGGAGACCCTGTCTGGATGCCACACAGCTGCAGGAAAACCAGGCCAAGTCCTGAGCGCCCCAGTCACCCCACGCTGCTGGCCCCGGCCGGGGTTCCCACCCGTACTCTTCACAGACAGGGACCTTTGGGGACCCATCAGAGAGAAGGCTGGTGACACCCTGCCCTTCGGCCCCCAGCAACACCACTGTCCTGTGCCCTTCCTGTCCACATTTCACCCACTGATCCACTGCTGACTCATCACGCCTGCTTTTAATCCAATTCAGGACCCACATAAGGTCCCGTTCTGGGGTCAGGTGTCCCCCTTTTCCCCCTGGTACTGGGGGTTGAGTGCAGGGCCTTTGCAGTGAACTACATCTCCAGCCCTCTCTTTTTACAGTTTTTTTTTTTTTTGAAACGGGATCTTGCTAAATCACTAAATTGCCCAGGCCGGGCTTAACTTGATCCTCCTGCCTCAGCCTCCCCCTGCGTCGGGATTGATCGTGGGCGTGCACCGCAGCACTTGATGTCTCCTCTCTTTGCCCCGCTCTGACCTGGGCCAGGGCCTGGGCCTTCTGTGCCTTTCGCGGCCCTGACGTTCCAGGAGGGACCCGAGTACACGGTGGGCGCCAGGGTCTTCTCTCGGGCTCACTGACGCTCCTCCTCCATCCCAGCTGCAACTCTGAGGTCAAGTACGCGTCGGAGAGGCGCTTCCGGGACAAGGTGTTCTACGCGCCAGTGCCGACGGTCACGGCCTACAGCGAGACCATCGTGGCGGCGCCCAACTGCACGTGGCGCAGCTTCCGCAGTCAGCTGACCCTGGAGCCGCGGCCGCGCGCGCTGCTGTTCCGCAGTTTGTGGCCCTCTGACCCGCCGGCAAGGCTGTCCTGCGCGGCCACCGTGTACGCGTAGGGGACCCAGCTGATGCCCCGCTTTCTGGGCCCTGCAGCTGCGCTGCCTGAAGGCGAGGAGAGGCCTGCGGCCTGGGGCACCTTTGGAGCCCAGGGATAGCAGCGACCCGCCCTGCTGGGGATGGCTCCAGGCGAGGGAGGGGAGAGTGGCCCTCTGACCCGCCGGCAAGGCTGTCCTGCGCGGCCACCGTGTACGCGTAGGGGACCCAGCTGATGCCCCGCTTTCTGGGCCCTGCAGCTGCGCTGCCTGAAGGCGAGGAGAGGCCTGCGGCCTGGGGCACCTTTGGAGCCCAGGGATAGCAGCGACCCGCCCTGCTGGGGATGGCTCCAGGCGAGGGAGGGGAGAGGGTGACACTCAGGCCACCCTGGTCCGGAGGGCCAGGCCAGCTCAGAGCGGCCGGGAGGACCTGGAGCCCGGACAACAGGGCACGGCTGCTGGAAGGGGTGCTGCCATGACTGTCCTGTGGCCACCTGGGCAGAAGGGCCAGAGGCTCCAGGGCCTCCCCACAGGGCATCCCCAGGCAGCAGGCACTGCAGATCCTCCTCAGGACTGGCCCTGTTGAAACCCAAAGCCTTTCTGCAGGGACGAGGGGAAGCAGAGCAGCTCTTGGAAATGCTGCTGACCCGTCCTCGAGGCCAAGTGTCCAAGTGTGTATGCAGGAGGCACAGAGCTTGGCCAGGGCCTCTCGAGAAATAAGGCCCCCCGCCCTCCTCCAGCCAGCAGCTCCCGCCGGGATGAGGCAGCTGCAGTCAGCTCCAGTGGTGCTTGGTACCCACAGCCTGGTGCTGCCCCATGCCACTGAATCCTGCTGCCTCCTTCACAGACCCACGGGCACTAGTGGCCAGGGCGGCCCCTTTCCCCTGGCAGCCCCAGAAGGGAGAGGCGGGCATTGGGCTGTGGGGCGAGGAGACCATGGGTAGTGACCTCCAGGAGACTTCATTATCTGCACAGGCGGTTCGTTCAGAGATGCATGTGACCAGCAGGTAACTAAGAAGTAGCACTCATAATAAAGTGCACAACCCAAAGGGACTTTCTCTTCTGTTTCTGGGACCCTCGAGTCTCCTGGACAGGGCAGAAGGGGCCACTCCTCGCGCCAGACATGTAGATCTGGAGGTGCAGGCAGGATGTCCAAGACAGGTGCCTGGGGGTGTTGGCTGAGGCAAAGGGATGAGGCTGATGGAGGGGACCTGTGGGCTGAGACCTGTGATCCTCCACCCCTATAACTCCGACCAAGCCCTCGAGGCCCAAGGCCAGCCCCACACTGCCACCTGGCAGCCAGCCCCGGTACTGCAGCCAGGCCAGGTGGCCCTGCAGGGTCCTCCGCTCCTCCCACACGCAGCCACAGGCGTGCAGGGTGAGCTTGGGACAACCCCGGGCCTCTAGAATGCAGATGCCTCTCCCCGCCTGCACCCTCAGAATGCAGGTCCTTGGACAAGGGGCACCCAGGCACTGGAAGCCCGGGGCCACGGCTGAGCCAAGGGCCCCAGGACGACTCAAGGACCTCTTAAAGGGAGACTGAAAAGGAACAGGGCTTTGCAGGCCTGCCTGGGGCACCCACTCTGCCGGGGTGCTGGGAGCTGAAGAATGGTCTCCACGGGTGCCTCATCTCAGCGTGGGCCTCGGCCCCAGCCCCAGGGATGCCACAGTGGCCCTCAGAGCCCCTGCGGCAGAAGCAAGGGTGGCCTTTCTTCCCTCTGACACCTGCGAGAGCCGTGGCACCTCCCAAGCCCCATGCGGCTGGGATGGGGCACAGCAGGCAGCTGTATTCTCCCCAAAGCCTCAGCTCAGCCTTCGGCTGGCTCTGGGCACAGACAGGGAGGGGACAGCGCAGGTCAGGGACAGGCCTTGAGGGAAGGAGTGGGGCTGCGGGAGCCAGACAGAGCACATGCTGGAGCATGGCGCAGACCCCCAGGCTCTGAGAGCGAGGCTCTCCTGGGACTTTATACCCAAGCCACATCGCAGGAGGCAGCAGCTTGGCTCCAGCCAACAGGTCCCTGCTCCGCCTGGGGTTCAGAGCCAGAGGGAGTGCAGGGTCCCATCCCTCCCACAGTCAGACACCCTCACCGTGGTGTGAACGCCTCACACTCCCCACGGGTGTGACAGCCAGAAACCCTCACCGTGGTGTGAACACCTCACGTTCCCCACGGGCATGACAGACACCCTCACCGTGGTGTGAATACCTCACAGTGCCCACAGCTGACAGCCAGACACCCTCACAGAGGTGCGAAAACCTCACAGTGCCCACAGCTGACAGCCAGACACCCTCACAGAGGTGCGAAAACCTCACAGTGCCCACAGTTGACAGCCAGACAACCTCACCGAGGTGCGAAAACCTCACACTCCCCCTGGGCGTGACAGCCAGACACCCTCATGGTGTGAACACCTCACACTGCCCACAGGTGACAGACACCCTCACCGAGGTGTGAATACCTCATACTTCCCACAGGCGTGACCGCTACTGTCACATCACAATGGGTGTAGATGCCTCCTATACCGTCCGTGGCTGTAACTGGTGAACACTCACCATGATGTGACTTAGCTCAAACACTCCCCACAAGTGTGACCGGACATCCTCACCAATGTGATACCACACTCCTCACGGTTCTGAGTGCGGGACACCTTCACAACAGGCTTGAGTCCCTCACACACCCTCAGCCTGGGTGAATTCCCTCATGCTTACTACAGGCAGACTTGGCTGGACATCCTCAGGGGTTGGGTGTGAATACCTTACACACCCACCGCAGATGTGACAGCCGGACGCCTCACTGTGTGTGAACACAACACGCCATGGCCAAGTACCCTGTCCTCACCAGTGTGACCGCCCGTACCTTCGGTGTGATGTGAATTCTCCACGCCCCTTCGTGAGCTCTAAGGCGTGAGTGGCCCTCAGGGTCACACTCCTCCGTCGTTCAGTTCCCACCTGCCCTCCTCTTGGCTGCCATTCTGAAGCAGAGAAGAAATCTTGGTGACTTGAGTATAATTTGCTTTTAATTACAACAACGTGTGTAAATGACAGAATGCCACCGCCATCCGCAGGTGGCGGCCACAGAATATGCATCCAACTCATTCTGCCCAAGGAAGGGGGAGGGAGAGGCGGGGGCTGTGAGCAGGTGGCCCCGGCCCCGACGGCCGCACAGGCCCCTGGACGTCAGCGGGTGGGAGACAGAGCAGCAATAATACTGGGTGAGTCCTTCCTTGCGTAAAACATCTGAATTAATTCATTGAAGGTATCAAAAATATACCCTGTAAACCAATACACCATTTACACCGCCTGCCTCTTCTCCCACCGCTGCACCACCGTGCGAGTGAAGAAGCGCAGCTGGGCGGCCCAGGGACCGCGACAAGAGCCCTAGAGGTGGGACGAGGCCCGTGTCCATCTGTCCAGAGCACTAAGCGGGGCAGGAGGCGGAGCGGGGGTCGGGGGCTGGAGCTCGGATTAGACTTTGGTTCCAGATGCTTTGGGGAGGAGGTGGCGTGGAGGTGGTTCTCGTCCTGTCTCGTCCCGGCTGCCCGCCGTGCGCCCTCCCTCCCTCCCGAGCACCAGGTGAACATCCCCTGAGAAAGGTCACTGCACAGGGCCAGCCCGGGTGGGAGTTGGAGTTAAGGCTTTAGACAGGCAAGGACGCCGCTCCGGACGGACAGACGGACGGACAGATGCACGCACGCGGCAGGCAGACTCGGGGCTCCTCCTCTCCGGGCCGCTCCCATGCTGGGACCTGGCGGTCACTCGCTGTCCGACAGCGTCTCGTACTGCGCGCAGAGAAGCGGCTTGGGCTCCTCCTCCCAGGCATGGTGGGCGGAGAGGGCCCCACTGCCCACGGGGAGGCCGGGTGGAGGCGGTGAGGCCATGACGCCCGCCTGCAGCCGCATGATCAGCGGGTTGTAGGGGAACGGGGTGGAGCCTGCAGAGACGGGACACAGCTCAGGAGGCCACCCTAGCTGCTGTCCCTGGCCCCCATCTGCCTCCCTACCCAACTCTGCCAGATAAACTCAGAAAGCAAACGTGGCCAACGGCCGCTGTGCCCCACACCTGCTTCCCGTGTGCCCTCCGTCGCCCCAGGCGGGGATAGACGTGACTGTGACCCACTCTGCCCGCGGCCCTCCCGACGGCGCACCTGCGGACGAGGGCCGGTCCTCCCACACACGGTTGGTGAGCGGCGTCCGGCGGTTGCAGTCCCCCTCGGAGTGCACCGAGGACACGGAGGGTGGCCGGTCCCCGGATGCCAGGCCTGGGGCTGGGGACTTGGCTTTTCGGCTGCTGGGTCTGCCAGAGACCTTGGTCTTCCCACCTCGCCGCCTGCGGGGAGGACGGGACAGGGCTGTGTCGGACCACGACAGCCGCACCACATCGCGGGGAGGCGGGGTCGGGCCGAGTCCTGCCACGGGGAAGCCATGTGCCGCCTGGCCCTTCAGGAAGGGGTCACAGCGTCCAGGTGGCCCCGCGGCTCCCAGGAGCCTGCCGAGGCTCAGCCTCAGGCCTCTGCTGGGCCCTGTGTGCTGCCCCAGGATGCAGCAGGGCCAGAGGGTTGTGGCCCTGGACAGCAGCCGGGACCCTGAGCCAGGGTGGACCCCACTACGAGCCTAGAACTTCGCGTAGCCTCAGTGTCCACACTGGACGACTGAGCCCAAAGTCCTTGCTCGGCGCCCACTCAGAAGCGGCAGGCGGCGCTGCTGCTCCCCATGTCCTCTCTCCCGCCAGAGGCCTGGGGCTGGGGCAGGGCGCGGGCGGCCGTGTCAGCGTCTGCAGAAGCAGCGGCAGCACCGGGGGAG